ATAGGAACAGCGACAAGACCAGAAGTAGACATAAAAAACTATTCTCGTTAAGATCTATCTCTATGAAAACTTTCAAGTTGAAATTCGAAAATAAGTCAAAGATTGCTATTTTATCTGAAAAAAGTCTAATTTCATTTACATTAAACTGAACGAAAGTTGTATGACATATTGCATCCAACTATTTAATATTGTTGTTATGATACAAAGTACTGCGTTATCTTTCTGTTCGATTTACTAAAACTGATAAAAATCGCAACAAATTTTTAATGCAATAACAATAATTTATTAGATAACAAGTTATTATTCAATGGACTAGCTTTATTCAAAGGTGATTTTGGTTTATTTGTAATTTAAAACTTATCGGAGCTTTAACGTGATTTTGCCTCAGTTCTTTGTCATAGCGAAATTTTGGAGAATAAAAACGTTGCATAAGCGAGCGGTACAGGTACGAACTTCAACTGATAAAAAAATTAATCGATATCATATTAATTAAAATATGCATTTTTGTGTAAATGCTTATTGATACACTTCTTCAAAAATATAAAGTATGAACTATCCATTATTCATTGAGTTTCTGAAATGTGCGATCTCTTAAATTTTAAGATCTATTTTTAACTGGTTCTCTAAAAGAAAATCGTATTTTTGTTTTTAGAAGATTTCATAATTTGTGGCTTTTTTTTCTGGAATTCTTCTTAACAAACTTCAACTACTTTTTAACTCGCATGAGGCAACAGAAGCTAATGAAACACAAAATGAAGAATCGAATAGGTTCACTCCTGAATCATTTCTCATATTTTCAAGTGTCTTACAACTTAGATGATTTATTATTTGTTTGAAACTATCACCGAGTTGAAAGTTTCTGTCACATATTCAGGGTATACGTAAAAGCCAGAAAATGTATTGTATTATCAATTGTGTAATACAATAAAGGTCAAAGTCAATAACTGTTTTATTGACCTGAAGAACAGAAACAACTAACAAGTTAGATGAAAACGAAACGAACAAAGTTATCATCTGTTTAAGAAAAGACAAGCATATATAAATAGAGATCTATATGTTGTGATGACTCATACAAATGGAATGAAGAATAGAATAAAGAAACAAAAGAAATATTGTTATATACGAAATTAGAATGATCACAACACAAACGAAAAGAATACACATAAATATATGTATAGAAGAAACATGACTCATCAGTAGACAAACACCAACAGATAAGAAATGAAGTTAATGTAACAATAATAACAATTATTGTCAATACACTACAGTTTCATAGATTAATACAATTTCTGTCTGTTTTCTTTTTATGTGGATAAAATATGAAATACGAAGCATGAACTAATTAGATATTTTCGTGTTTGGTTAAAGGTCATAAAAACCTACAAAGATGAGAAAAGAGACCAGATCGAACTAGACATAGTTAATACGAACAAACCTGTCGACACACATTTATTTAAAGTTTCAATTCATTTTAATGAACAATCGATGGAATGAATAATTCAATTTCAATATAGTCCCGATTATGGTTAATGCTTTTATTAAAGACGAAAATATATGATTCTTTTTTTTTATTTTTGGAAAAAGCAAAAATTAGATTAGTAAGATGTCATAGACTTATAATTGTTTGAGATACTTACATTAGTAGAGACCAGCAAAATAGAGTCACCGATAATCTATTGAATCTAGATATAAACCAAATCTATATATGTTTTAACAATTAATACCAGGGTAAGACTAGTGACGAAGGCAATGAGCACGTAAAGAACCCATAGTTATAACTGATGTATTAAAATACTACTAGCTTCTCTGAACACTAAGAGATTTGAATGATGGGAAAAAACTGGTCATCGCCATTGTTTCTTAATGCAATCATTAACTTCACTAACCCAAACAGTGATATTTTTGAAAGTACATTCCTAGTTTTAACAACAATTATATTACATGAATCTTCAATTTTGTTGATTAATTTATATGTCAAATGTAATCAATAAATCGAAATCATAATGAATAAACGAAGTAGACTTATCCCAGAAACAAAAATGAACCATATTTCTTAACTGAAGTGTTAAACATTGGAATTATATATTCATATGGACAGAAACATAATGTCAATGGAAATAACAAATGAATAAAAGCAATCAGACTAAATCAAATATTATTAATAGATTTTGACTAGTGATTCGTTCTTAAATCAATATATGTGTTGACATTAACTGATGTCAATATAGAAGAAGATGATGCTAAGATCAAAAGACAAAATTCAGCTGTTGTTGTCTTTTATTTCTTTACTTCTGCAAGAAAATAAGAACACTCTTAAAAAACTTCTAATCATTCCTTTGTTATTATAATTAGTCTTCGTTTAAATACAGCGAAAAGGAATAATCACTTTACATTTTTTGAAAAATTTAAATTTAAAATCAACTTAGATTTATTGTACATGAAATTGCAAAAAAATATTTTAAATTTAAATTGAATTTACATAAATTTAAATTATTTTAAATCAATCTAATCCTTTGACGGCAAAGTCCGCAAAATTTACGTTTTCAAAATTTGAATAGAGTACGAAGCCAAAATATATTAAAACAGATCTTTTCTATATTTGTTGTGCTCTGATATAGACGCAACTAGTAACAGAATTACATCTTTATATCAAATATAAGTGCAAGAATTATGATTACCAATAATTTTCAAATTGTACCATATGCATAATATATTTTTACTTTATATGATCTAAAAATACGTCCGTCATCAAAGAGTTAAATTAATTTGAATTCAATTTAAATTAAATCTAAATAAGTTTATATTAATTTATATAATATTTAAACTAATTTCAGTTAAATTTAAATTTGTTTGATTGTCTCTAGCAATAAAAGGAACCTTTTATCATGAAAGTGTGTTATCAAACATATGTTTATGAATATTTTAGTATCATCAAAAGATAAAAGGAATGGAGCATGACTCTTTTATAAGGACTCTTGTATTCTGATGATTGAATTTCGACATATGATATCAGCTCTTACCTTATTTCTTGTCTAATTTTTTTTTTTGAAGTAATGTATTTTAACAATAGGGATGATCAAATCACATTAAACAAAACAATTATTCAATCCAGAAATAAATTTTAAAAGATTTAAATTTAAAATAAATTAACAGGAAAATGCCATCCCTAATAAGCGAATCCAGGTGATGCTCAAGCTTCACCGAACCTATCGTTTCGTAGCCTATAGATACGTGGATATTTGATTAATGCATACAATTATATGAATTAATGTTCTAATATAAGATCAGCTTAATATTTATTAGTTCCACATTCAAGAAAACGTCGAAAAACGGCGTGGTAATCCGATATCACGGATTACAGGAGCAAAACTGAGGAAAAACAATAGCCGTTTTCTAGCGATAAAAACGATTCGTAAAACAGTATGACGAATTACAGCGAAAATAAGGTCAAAATTAATGCAGTAATTTGTCGTATTATAGCCGTTTCAGACCAGATAAGACGCCGTTTCCGACGGTCGAAATGAGCGACCTAGGATAGGAAGCATTAAATCTTGATGTTGTGGAATTTTTTTTTGTTAGTTTTATCGTAGCCAGGGATTTATCTCAATTAATTATCAATCGAAATATTCAAATTAAATGATTCAAAAGATTGATGAAGTAATATCAACAAAATTCTCATGCGATATAACAATTTGATACAAACATAATTCATTGAAATGTTCATTATTAGATCACTAAATATTAAGTAATTAATCTTATTATACTAGGTTTTGATGAATACTTATCATATACAAAATGAATTAACAATGTTAACAAATAATCGACACTTATTAGAAACAATCAATGATCGGATTATATGACTAAAGTTTAGAGAAGCTATATTTTTCAGGTTTTTTTCGGCGTAATAGCTAGAAATAATCTCAAAAAAAAATAAATAAATTTGAGTAGCTAAAAGGATTCTCTATTAGTATTGGTGAATCTATAAAACTCCAATAAAAACTACTTGGATGAGAATACTTGGAAAGCCAAGATCTCTAAAACTAGTTTTCTGGCATATATTTGAAGCTTTTTAGAAATTGTTTTATGTAATAGAGAAAAATGAGATGTGTCGACTTTCTTCATAGCCTTATTTCATCGAACTGCTTTCAGTTTATAGAAAGTTCCAAAGTATCAAACACGACGAAATCATGGAAATTTCTCATAAAAAAAAAACAAAAGAAAAATGCTTCTTGAGTCTTCTGCAAATTGAATACAGTTCAGTTCGATGAAGAAAGGTCATGAAGAGACTCGAGACATTATTTAGCTCTATCAAATAAAACTATTTCTAAAATGTCTCAAATGATTGCTAGAAAATTGTAGAGAATAATTTTGGTTACTCAAGTGGTTTTTTTCGAATTCTTTTTAGCTATTACTATCGAGAAGAGAACTTAAAAGTACAACTGCTTTAGACTTTTCTCTGTAACTATATATCGCGTTTATTTGCAAACTAAAAATTTGTGACAAAAAACTGAGTTCTTTGTTTTAAATTATTTAAACAAACTAATTTAATAAAAGATTTATTTTATGCTGAATAATAGAGATGTTGCAGGGTAAGCTTTTTTCATGTCCTGCACTTTGACTGAGAAAAATTTTTCTAACACTTAATCTACCTTGCAGGATAGGGTGATTATGTGCACCTTTACTTAACACCATGATTACATCTACAGTATGCATTAGTATATTGAAACGATAAATGCCCTTTTTTTTTTATTTCTTGTGACATATTCATCTCAAGGGCAAAGAGTACATCTTTTTCTATAACACGAAATTTCAAACAATATCTTATCATATTCGACTATTACTTTTTTCTTATTCTAATTCAAATACTGATAATTTAAATATCAACAAGGAAGAAAAACAAATTGTTACTCTTGCACTTTTTTAAACTTATCAACCTTTCGTTCTTTTTTTATGTATAAATATATTTGTATTTTTCACTTGATAATACTTCAAAGATATTCATGATAAATCCTTTATTTATTATTATTATATTTAGTTTTCATCTTTTCTTACAAATCAAATGTCGAATAGCTGAAACATATAAAATTAAAAACAGCCAAGAAATTTCTATAAATGATCATAGTCGAATAAGTTCTAATGATCAATTACATATATGTTATTTAAATGATATACAGAATCAATCGATACTTGTTTGGTTTACTATTGAAAAATCTCTATATTATATGTTTGATTCATATCGTTTTATTTTACGTTTAATTGATGATTTCTCATTATCAAATGTTATTATTGGAATATTAACTAATTTTACAGAACTTACGGATTTCAACAATAGTCTACGTATATTTAATCTTGATTCTGGTCTATATGAAGTATGTATTGAATTTCAAATGAATTTTACAAGTTTGATTTATCAACCACGTGATGGTTGTGTACCTATGCGTATTGGTAAATCACCATTTGATTCATTAAATCCAAAGCCAGCGCCATTACTTGTTGCATTAGCTTGTGGTATAGTAGTTTTTTTTATTCTTGGTCTGGTTGTTCAATGGGCAAAAGAAAATCGTCGAAGAAACCTTCAAAATAATCATAAATCACGATCACGTTCATCAAGTTTTCTTTCAACATCATCTGTGAAACAACAACGTGATCGTCTCATAAGAAATTTATTTCGTCGTCATATTGATAAACCTGAAGCATCATATATGCGTCAATGGGCACGTGATCTTACATCTCGACATCGTATTCCAACAGAAAAACAACATGTTAAAAGAAAAAAAACATTTCGACCATGGAATAAACATTTGTTTTCAACAACAGATCATGTATTACAAGAACAACTTGAAACAAAAACAATTTCGCATGATAGAATTCTATCATCAGAACCAATTATATCTAGAAATAACATTTATACAATCTCAGAAAAAGTACATCATCAAACATTACCAAGAAAAGTTTCCTTTGAATTATCAATATCAGAAAAACATGAAATAGTATAAAGTAAATGTTTTATTTTAACGAATGATCAGAATGTTTTTAGATTAGATATTTGTTTACTTTTAATCTGCTAGAAAGTATTTTTTGATGAGTTAAAAACTATCAATCGCAACCAGAATTTGAATATGAGCATAGAAATGTTTTGTCTATTTTTATTAAAAACTAGTGAGAAGATTTTTGAAACATCTGAAAAATTATTTTTAATGATAAGCCAACAAGTTTTTGTTTACCCAATATCGATAATTCCATTTTCGAACATGCTAAAAATTGTTGAAGTCTATTATTTTGTAGAGAGGACACAGCTCTCTACAAAATGTGATATTAAAATAAGCTGAAGCTTTTCCTCCGGTGAGACTACGAACATTTTCTTCAAGAGCTCGATTCATTCGAAAGTGATGATTGATTTTTCAAAAATCAGTATTTCAGAAAAACGAAAATTGAGGTGATTTGTCGAAAGACTTCAAACAGCGCGTTTTGTAGAGTAGATTCTGATCTATAAGCTGATATATAAATAAACATTTCCATTCTTAGTTTCGAATCGCATTAGTGAAAATACAAAAATTTTTCGTCCAAACGAATTTTGTGTTCTTTTCAAAGATTATTTTACTACTCTACTTTTGACTCATCGAAAATACTTTCTAGCGTAGTAGTGATCGAATCCCGTGACTGCTTAACTTCTGGAACTGTTAAAAGTACACTGTCACTCACAAAACTCTCGAAATCCACACTCATGCTAGGGTTGATCTGCTTAATAAATTTCAACAAGTTCTTGAGTTCTAAGAGTTGCTTCAGTTGTCAGAGTTTCGTGATAAAAAATCATTAAAATAAATATATTTCTTGTAGTTTCTAATACTTCCTTCAAAGATATAAAAATTCAATAATATTCGTTTTTTTTATTTTATTTTCATTCTTCGATGAACTTAATAACAAAAGCAACAAAATAAGTCATGTCCTTATCTGTTTATTTGTTTAAAACAAAAAGCTTGTATAAGCAACAAGATATATTAAATAAAGTTTTTTTGAATTGTCTGTATGCTTTTCTTTGTGTCTATATTTTGTTTTTGTTTAAATTGTAATTAATATGCATCACGATATTCTTGAAGAAATTTTGGATTAACACTGCTTTTCATATATCGAAATGCTGATATATAAGTTGGATTTACAACAGTAGTAGTAGTACTAATCGATGAATTTCTTTCTTGATGATTTCTTGATGATGAATTTGATGTAATTGATCGAGCTGTTCCATAAATATTTGATACAAATTCATTAAGTTTTTCATTAGTTAATACAGGTGGTGTTGGTGGTTTTTTTTTAACTATTGATGATTTTTGTGTTGAAGGTAATGATGGTATCGAAGGACGTTCAACATAATTAATTGATGCACCAGTAGTTATTGTTGATTTACTACGACGATGATGTCTTTTATTTTTTGAACTATTTGTTGATGAACTAGTACTGATTTGTCGTTGTTGTTTTTTTATATTTGATGATTCAAAATGATTAAACATTAATTGAGCTTCATTTTTATTTAATTTTATTTTACGTCCATTAAAATCTTCGAAATATCCCTCAATTATTTCAAACATATTTGATGTTGCTAAAGTTTTTGTATTATTTGAATGATCATGTAATTTATCATCTGTATTTATGTACCGTTGATGTTTAGAATTGTTTTCATCGTATAATCGTTGAAATCTTTGAATATCAATGATAGGTACTTGTTTTGATAATCGTTGGGGTCGTGAACGAGAACGAGGTTTTTTTGATTGATAAAATTGTGGATGAATTTGATTTTTATTTGCATTCGGTTGAATAACATCCATAAATAAAATACGATTACCTTCTTTGGTTATTTTTTCACCACGTTCATTTATTCTATATGAAAAAGAAGGTAATTCGGTTTGTGAAAGAGAATTTGTAATTGGTTCTAGTACAGGATTTGGAATATTCAGTGATTGTTGAGGGAAATTAGGATTAAGAATAGGTATCGATGTAGTCAGTTTTGGCATGACTTTTTCAATTATAATCGGTGCTTTTTTTGTTTCGTTTATTTCATTATTATTCTGTGTTGAAATTGGTTCAAATGAACTTGTTTGTAAATTTGAAAATGATTCATCAAATTGATCAATATCATTTAGTAATTTTTGTCTATTAGAACCATGTCGACTATGGTGTCGAGAATATTCTGTTGGTATTGAACTAACAGAACTCGAACTCGAACTTGAACTTGAACTTGAACTTGAACTTGAACTTTTACTCGAACAACTATATGAAGAAGAATGTTCTTCATCGTCCATATGACGTAAATATCGTTGAATTTCATGTGTTGTATCATCATGATAAAGACCTTCATGTAGTCCAAAAGGTGATGCTGGTGGACGTGGTCGAGATTCAATAAAATTCTCATCATCATCCCATAATTGCCATTGTTCAATAACACTTGCATCAGTACGATAAAAGAAACCACCAAATGTTGGATCAAATAGATAATTTCGAATAGTAGATTCATCTGTTAATCGATTTGGATTTGTTCGATTCAAAGATGAATCATCATCATTAGCTGGTGATATATAAATAATACCATGTGTTTCACTTAATTTTCGTCCATAACGATCTAACTAAAAATATTTAAATAAAAAAACGAAATCAGTTTAAAAAAAATATAAACATATATAATATTTAACCTGATAAAAAATAGGTGATTTTAAACATTTAATATCCGGTGTAATATTTGCATAAGCTTCTGATATAGCTTGAACAAGTGAAAATGCTGCATCAACATTTTTTGTTATAAAACAATGACATTCATCACCTGGCATAATTTGTGTACGTCGTATAACAATACTAAATAATGGTGGGTGTTTACTTTCACTAATTATCAATGTATCTAATGGCATAAAACGCCAATCAATCATTGGTGTTGGTTTTGTATAATCATTTTCAATAATTGTAAAACGTAAACTTGAACAATAAACAAGAGAAGTTATTGGAAAAAATATTGCTGCATGTGGTTGACGAGTAAAGACTAATTGAATACCATTATCATAAATAGAAAGTACTGCATCAATTCCTGGTTTTTGTTTTAAATAACAAAATAAAATTATGTGTTTTTTTTTAGAGGAGAAATTCAATGAAGTTACCTCGAACTGTATTTGTACCATCGACAGGATATCGATATGAAAATGGTTCTTGAATTGCATCAAGACCATGAAAACCATTATTAGATGGTCCTGTACCCAAATAAAGAACACCACATTGAACAATTGGTTCAATAAGATCAATTTCAGGTACAATAGGTAGTTGATCTGATTGTTGAATTATTGGTATCTCCGACATGAATTTTTAAATAAGTTAAATGATGAGAAAAAAGAAACAACAAAAATTGTCTCGTATATAATATATTTTGTGTTCTTTCACTTTTTCACGATCAACATTGGTTACTGAACCAAATTGAAAGAAAAAGAAAGTGACAATAGACATTTGGTAAGTGTAATATCATATGACAGACAATTTTTTTTTTCATGTATATATGTATAGACGAACCCTATGAATAGATTAGATAGGTCACAAAAACTATTCAACTGTGACAGTCATGACTTTTTATACTCAGATATGTATTTGTTATCGATGGAATTTTAATAAGTTGATTTGTTTAGAATTTTATTTTTTGATATATTAAACATCAAAAATAAATCGAGTTTTATAATAATCAATAATTCTTGTTATGATTTATATATTCATATTGAACTTATACTCTTCATCACAATATAAATTGAAATTAGTGATGAATGTTTTCAGAAAAACTATTATATTTCCTGAATGGTTTGAAATGGAATATAATATGTATAAAATTTTTAATTATCTATATTTTATCCAATAGAACATATTATTTTAATAGAAATTATCAATATTTCTTTTTCTATCTTCCTATGATTGTAAGTTCATTTTAACTATGAAATCATATTAAAAATTAATTAGAACATATTTAAATTTTTACTTTAATGAAATTTTAGAGCTTCTGTTTTTATTGATATTTTCTTGGCCAAAGAAAATACCTGGAAGGGGTACGGATAAACATTATTTTCCTGCTAGTTTGGAGCTCCTTGAAATGTTGTCTAGGCTACGTCCCAATTTTGATATTCAAGAATAATTTTGAACTATTACAAATATATTCTAAATAATCTACTGTACATGTATTAATTAAATCATTCGCAACATTCATTGTTTCATATTTAATTAATCCAATATTTTCAAATATGTTTTTAGTCACGCAACAAAACTTCTATATTGTGCACATCATCGGAGCTGATGAAAATCGTTCAGTATAACACGATGTTCATAAGTAAGAAGAAGAATCAAGTAAATATAAATCAAAATATCAATCTTATCACATCCCGTTTTCTTTTAAGTTCTTTTTATTATTTTATTGAATAGTTTTTGACTTTTAGTACTTTAAATTCCTTTTTTTCAAAATTAGTTTCATAATTAATAATAGATTCATTTTTTTTTTGCTCTAAGTCAATAGGATTGCGAGAAATCATATCTGACACAGAAAGATTGAGAAGCTATTTAAAAGGACAATGATATCTGTTTGTCTATTTTTTTCGTTTTCATTGATTTAAATCATAGAACTGATTATTTTTAATACATACAGACGGGACCAAATACAAAAGTGTTCACATTCAGAATCAAGAGATTTTCATAAAGAAGAGGTGAAAAATCAGCAAAATTTGCTTGGAGAGACTGGAGACTGTTCGATATAACATAGTATTCCCTGAGAAAAGTTTTATTGCACTTCATTGCAATAATCGATTAGACCAAATGCATCTATAGTAAAATTTTTGTTCAAATGATGAATGACATTTTTCTTTGATCATTCGTTATTTTTATATAATTGGCTACATTAACATATTCATGAATAGATTGAGTTATTCGAACTGATTGAGAATTCAATTCCGTTGTAATAAACAAGACATCATTTGGTTATTAAGAGACATAA